GATTGCCTGAACCCACAGGTTCAAGACCCGCCTGGGCAACTTGGTGAGACCTCATCTTACAATAAAGCAAAAAATTAGCCGGGCAAGGTAGTGCACACCTGTAGTTCCAGCTACTTGGAAGGCTGAGGCAGGAGGATGGCCGGAGCCCAGCAGGTCGAGGCTGTGGTGACCAGGAGCGGCCACTGCACTCCAGTCTGGGCCACAGAGTGAGACTCCAACTCAAAGCAAACAAACAAACAAACAAGATGGTTTATTCTGAACCAAACTTGGGGACTTAAGCCTGGGAACACCCATCCTCAGGAGGTTCTGAGAATGTGTGCCCACTGTGGTTGAATGGTAACATACACTTTAGGGAGGCAGAAGTTATACACAGTCATAAATTAATATATGTGATATTCTCACTGGTTTGGCCCAGAAATGAGGGACATCTCCAAGTGGAGGCTTGCAGGTCATAAGTGGATTCAAAGATTTCTGGTGATTTGTAGTCCCTATCTAAGGAATTTTGGAAATCAGTAGAGGAAATGCTTTGTTAAGTGAAGGGAGTGGAAAACCTCAGGTTTGTTGATAGGTAATGAAGTCCTATGTGTGGCAGACTTCAGGGAAGATAGAGAGGTATCTTACAAGGCTCTCTGAGTCTGGGAATCCTCAAGAGATGGCTTTTGAGGGCCATAAAACACTTTTATTTTCTTCTTTATTTGTTTTGTGATGTTGTATCAGCGTAAGGTTGGAAAACAAACTTTAGGATATGGCTAGTGAAAGCCTGTCTGGTGAGTCCTTATGAAGCAGTGACAACCCACGTCTCTTAGGAATTTGGACAAGAGAAAAAGGTCAGGTCCAGTCCTCAGCTGAGTATATGTGCTGGTGATGTCCAGGATCTGGTTTCCATCAGTGCTGCCTGTTACTCATGCTTCTTCCCCCTCGTACATTGCTGTGTGTCTTCTCTTCATTTCTTCCCACTTGCTTCTTAAACTTCACTTACAGCACACATCATAGTCTCTTTATCCATCTACTTACATACTCATCTTTTCTCTCCTTGCAATGTGCTGTCTCCACACTCTCTTTTCCAACCGTTTTCTAGTTCCTATAGGTAAGGCTTGTGTAAATATCATTTAAAGGTTTTCTAAGATTTTCAGACTGAAAGTTCAAACATCGTCTCTCCACTTTTCTTTCCCTTCACACTGAACCACGTGTAGCACCCAGACAAAACTCTCTGGGTGGTACCTCATGCCTTTGCACAAAGTTCACCTCCTGCATTGCCCTTCCCAGCTTCTGGTTCTGCCTAATCAAGTCTTTCCACCCTTGCCTCAGTTTCCTCTTTCGGGAACCTCCTGCCCACAAACTGAGCTTCTATGCACCCCTGTACATCTCTCCATCAATTCCCTTCCAGTGTAGCATTGGGTTTACATGTATATTTGCCTTTCTAGATGGTAACTTTTTGAAAGCAGAGTCTAGGTATATGAAGTGTGTTTTAAAAGAACAAATGAAAACTGCTTTTGTGTTTTCCCTTTCTTCATTCCATCTCTGTATGGTTTTGAAGTTTAAGAATAGCGATAGAGCTATTCTTGTGTCGCGGGGGGAAAAAGTTATACATTTTGATGTGAAATTGAGGTGTAATAAAGAACCCAAATCATTGACTATTTGGCCCTCAGCCAAGCCTCCAGAGCCCCTCTGGGATGGCCACACACTTTTATGTACTTTCCCAAATTTTGCCAGCCAATCTCCCTGCTTAAGAACCATCCTTTAAAGTTTTAGTATTTTACATTTCTAATTGTTAGTATTTTAACAATACTGTGTTCTACTATTTTAGTGACATTTTAGATTAAAGCAGCTTTTCTTTACTAGTCTAAGAAGCAAATGATTAATTTTAATACTGTTTCTTAGGTTAAATGTGCTGTGAATTTCAGACAACTAATGTAATTAAATGTGATGACCACAACTATTGTACACAGCAGCGGGTAGTGGGTACTATATTAAATCCTATAGTTTAAAATGACCCAAAACTATTTGTCCTAAAATAAAAATAATTTTATTTAACATCAGAGTTTTGAAATTAGCTTGTCTCCATTCATACTGTTATTTCAAGTATTTAGGGAATGTCATGCCCAAACATGTATGCATAATGGCTCATGAATAAATTCTACATGATGGATTTGCATTTCTAAAGGTTGCTTAATGGGCTATGAGGGAAGGCAAAAGATATATTGAAGAAGTCTCAAGAAATGTGTACTTTTGAATCCTGAACAAAGACATTAATTTCAGAGGCAGCATGGTAGAATAGATCAACTTCTCCATGGCCAGCTCTCTCTTCTGGTTACAAGATGGCTGCTAGCATTTCCCAGGGCTGTCTCTCTTCGGAATAGACTAAGAATCTTTGTCCCACCATTCCCAGACTAAATCTTAATATACCTCACAAATCTGAATGCAGTTCTAGACCCACTTGGAACTAATCACTGTGGCCAGGGTAATGTACTGCATTTATTGGCTCAAGTCTAAATCATATGGTCCATGAGTTCAAGGATGTAATCAGCTTCACTGGAAGTACGTGAGCTGAGAAAGGAGAAGGTGGAATTACTGCGTAGGTAATTTTGCCATGGTAAAGAAAAAGGGTAGAAACACAATAAACAAAACCTGGAGGATCACCACAATGATTTTGTATGGCCATTAACTATGCTTGTTTCTTTACCTATAAAATGTAAGAATTGTT